ACATATATATATATATATATATTTATGGCTGTCAGAAAAAGAAAAGATGATTGTATTTTTTTTATACCACAAAGAAGCTTTTTTTTTTCCCCAGAGCCCATTAGAATGCTTTGTGGATTCCCAACTGACACATTTTTGTTTTAGAGGCTCATGAGCTGTTTGCAGGATGGATCCACAGGCAGCAGAATTGCTGTTTTCCCCTCCCTGCCTGCTCCAAAAATTCCTTCCAAAGCCACAGGGTCCTTGTTTTGAGGAGGCCTAAAATTGTTACTGGCTTTATGAGCATCCTTCCAATGTTCTTCTCTTTTCCATAAGAAAATATTTTCTCTGACAATAAGTGCAGCTATTAGGGATGGGTTTTCTGCTGTACCGGCCAGGAGCTATGGTTTGTTCTCTGCTTTAACTAAACAATTTTATTTTTAATCTCAACCCCTCTTTTTTACCTCTTGCAACCTTAACTTTTTGACACTGCCTCCAGATACCTTTTAACGCGGTCGGTGGAAATCTGTACCGCTGCCACGGTCCTGTTATTGTTTTGCTCTGATTCTCTGATAGCTACAAGGATGGAGTCCTGCACAGCTTGTCCCGCAGGCAAGTAAATATTGACAGATTAATTCTTCTCAGATGTACAGACCATAAAGGAGTATTGTTTTAGGACCTGCTCCTGCGAGGTGATTAACACCATCAACTCCTGTCGCCCTCAGGGCATGTGTGGACTTTGCAGGATGGAGGTAGGACTTTAGTGGAGGTAGCCAGTGTGACCTTGTCTAGCACAAGCAGGGCACATGTTTTCGTGGAGCAAACCCTGTGTGTGTGCTGGACACTGTGATCCCTTGCCTGGCTGCCTGCAAAGTGCTGCTTTTGAACCCTCTTTACTGTCCTGAGGGTATCTGCTTCCACATCAGCTGCTTAGCAGTCCTCACAGCAGGGCCACAGCAGCCTTCCCGCATTTCCTGGAAAAAAACTATGGAATTTCAAGCCAAATTTGAAGCCCTCAGTCATTTTTTGACCCGCTATAGACTAGGTAAAAAACTATTTCCCATTCAGATTAAGTCTTATTTATATCCAATTCAATACTCTTCTGGAAAGTGTTGCTGGGTTTGTCCCCATCATGTGATGCAGGGAAGTGGAATCTGCTTTCCAGAGCCATGAGACATTTCCTTCTTCATAAAAGAAACCCCAACAATGTTGTACTCCTGTTTATTTTGACCCTGCCCATTTTCTGCTTGTGTTTGATAAACCCTCCTCTGTCTTGCTAAGTGCTGGGGTATCTCATTAAGGTTTATGTGACCATTCAGTAGAGTGACTGCAATGATGCTGATTGACATGGGCTGAGGAGGTAGCACGTGAGTTCATGGAGAAATAGTGATTTAAAGCTGTTGCCTCTGGGCCACTGGTTTTACTGGCTCACCAGTGCATATGGCTTTTGTGGTCTTGCTTCATATTGAATCTCCTCCTAATTCTGCAGCTCTCCAGAACATCAGTTTCAGGGATGACTTTCATTCTTCCCCCTTAAAGGTATTTCTAGGGAACAAATCTGTTTCCCTTGTAATAAATGTATCAGATTGTGCCAAGCAGCCATTGTTTTTTCTTCTTGTTTGTTGGTGCCTGAGAGAGATGCCTGTTCTCTCTTGATCTCTCTCCCCACCAGGCTCCCACGCTGCCTCCTGCTCGCAGATCTCTTGGACCAAACCCTGCTGCTGATGCTCCTGGGTCCCACCATGGGACTGTGAGGAAGGAGGGATGGGCTTCCTCTCTGTTCCCCATCCTGCAGAGCCTTCCCTCCCCTTTGCCATGCCCTGTGTCCCCATGGTGGGGTGACACGCTGGAGTTACCTTTCCTTTCCATCTCTCCCCAGCCATGTGCGGTGTCGTTGCGACCATCTGGTTTCCAGTGTGTGCCCACCGTGAGACCACCATTATGAGCTTTGGCTACTCTCTGTACACGGGCTGGATCGGCTCTGCCCTCTGCCTCTTTGGTGGCTGTGTCATCGTCTGCTGCTCGGGAGATGCCCAGACGTTTGGTGAGAACCGTTTCTACTACGCCTCGGGATCCAGCTCCCCCACCCACGCCAAAAGCGCTCACGTGTAAGCGTCCTGGAGATGTCCCACGGCTGCTGTCGGATGCTTTGGCTGGTGGGTTAGTGTGCCCTGGGTTTGTTTCTACTGACACACGCCGCTGTCAGGCTCCCAGGGGAAGATTTAGAAAAGCAGCACAAATGTCTGGTAGTTTGAAGCGTTATTCTCCCCATCTGTTCCCCCCCCTTCTCTAGAAAGCAAGCTCCAGCCAGCCCTACCTCTTGGTCCTTCCCATCATGTCCTGACCACCTGCCCCATCTTCTTGTAGCCAGGATGACTCAGATGGTTTGGGGTTGTCATGTGGGTTTTAGGGTTTTTACTTTCTTTTCTAGCTCCCCTGATTATAGGAGAGTTTAAAGCAATAAATGAGAAATGAGAGAGACACTTTCCCGTTGTTAGAAGGACTCTGGCAGCTTCTCCCCCCACGTCACTATTTGCTTTCTCCTGTTCAAGGTCACAGCTTTGGCATGGGTTGGGCGAGAGGGTAGGGAGGAAGGCTGTGCTCTCCAACCAGGCGAATGTTTCTCTTTTTGGAACAAGAGTAGGGGAATTTTTTTCTGCCTTTCTCTGTAAATACTTTTTTATGAGTTTGATCATTTTAGTAACAAGTATTTTCCCCCACCCCCACAGTCATCAGTATGAAGGAAACGGAACCCAAAGGTCCTAATTACACGGTAGATAACAGTGCCTTTTTATATCGTTTTAAATGACTTGGGGGGCTCTAATCCCCACGCTCTGGTTTGTTTGTTTGTTTTGTTGTTGGTTTTTTTTTTTTCCTTTGTACAGATCAATTACTAAAAATGTATTTTTACATATTTTTTTTTTTTTAAACTCCTTCCTTTCTTACTCTAAATTTGTGTTTTGTCTCGCATCGTTAAAGTAGCACATTTTAACACGTGGTATAATGTACCTGTTACAATGCCATTCTGGTGAATACTGATGATGCCTTTGTACTTGCAGTGAAATACTGTACAATAAATAACAGAGAACCTGCAACCACTGCTGCCTTGGTTTTTTCCCTTCCTCCCTGTGTATTTCTATAGCTAGCTTTTCCATGACAGGAGTTTTCCTGATGATTTTTAAGATTTTTTAGGTTTTTTTTGGTTTTTTTAATAATAGTTCAAGCTGAAAGATTGTGCTCTGCTGTGGAATTAAGTCGGCCTTTTGGTTTTTGAGGGAATATTTAAAATATGAGTAATCTTCCTGCATGGTACTGACCTCTCTGTTATCCATTCCTACATTCAATGTTCCCGATGATAGCAGCTTGCACCAGAGATACCCACTCGTGGAACTCTTCACATTGAAGAGACTTAGAAACCCACTGAGGTGGTGGAGATGTACCCCCAGCACTGCTTGGGTGGGCTGAAGTTGATAAGTCATGTTGCTGGAAGTGCTCTCAACTAAAGAATCTGATCTGGGGTCATCGCTCTGATTAAAACCATGTAAGATCAAGATCTAACTCTGTCCTTAACGGAGGCTGCAGCGATTTAATTACGTTGATACAAAATCCCATCTGTTCCTGGAGAACTCAGTTCAAATAGTTTGTGCAAGCCGGGCTTCAGGAGCAGGAACAGAGGAACAATTGCTGTTCAAGCGTGGTCAAGGGGGACAGCCCAGGTGGTATGTGTAGCAGGAGAAGAGACTGAGCAAGCAGAGGAATGACCAAATTGTTTGTGGTGGTGGAGAAGAATTTGAAAATAAGGCTGCTAGATAAGGGTCTGTCCTTTCATAGAGTCATAGAATCATCTGGTTGGAAAAGACCTTTGAGATCATTGAGTCCAATCATACTTGTCCACCACTAAACCATATCTCTGAGCACCCCATCTAGAAGTCTTTTAAACACCTCCAGGGATGGGGACTCAACCAACTCCCTAGAAGCCCATCCCAGTGCCTGAGAACCCTTTCAGTGAAGAAGTATTTCCTGACATCCAAACTGAAACTCCCCTGGTGTAACTTAAGGCCATTGCCTCTTCATCTTGGTCCATGTCAGATGGAGAATTCCACCAGGGTGACATGGTCATTGGCAAGGATACTGCAGCTCCCACACCTCCCAGCCTCCTCCGTGTGGGAAGCTGAGTCTGGAGCATTTAAAAAGAATGGAGAAGGAGGCTCCAGGAGGGACCGGTCACATCCCAGCCCGCCTGTGCCTCACCCTCCAGCTCCTACTTACAGCCCCAGCATCTGCCCTTGAGATGGAGCAGTCCTGAACGCCTCTCTGTTGTGTGAACTCCACATCACTGCCACCCTAGACAATGTCCCCGAGGTGAGCAGCGGCGCGGGGCCGGCGGCAGGACACTTGTGCCCATGACATCAGAGGCAGGGCACAGGCAGTTGTTGTACGGGCTGGAGGGACGCTATCAGTGCTGCCATTGATGCGCGGGTGCCACGGGCGATGGGGGTGGCACACAGACGTGCCAGCTTGTGCAGGCTGCCCGGGGATTGTGGATTGTACATCAACGGTGGCATGGGAGACCTCAGAGCAGAAAGCTGCTGGAACACCGCCCTGCAAACAGCTCTGGAGCAAACTGGGAGGGGAAAAGACCAGGGAAACCTGTCTGAGGTGCTTGAGGGGGGGTTTTTTTGGCAAGGTGTGGGTGTTGCTGGAGGGTCCCAGGAGGACCCATGGGGGAATGAGCCCAGCCAGGCAGTGCTTATGGGGTTTTTATTGCTGCCCACACCCTTGAGCTGCATGTTGGCATCTCCAGGCATGTGGGGCTGGGGACCCTCAGCAGGGGCTGGTGCTGGGGCTCTGCTCACTCTGATGGTCACAGGTTGTTGATGGCTGATCCCAAATCCAACCCTTATAAGGCTCTGGGTAAGCTGCTCAGAGGAAGGGAGAAACTTTATTTCAGGGAAAAGGAGAAAAATCCAAACAAAGCAAAACAAGCCCGGAGCAGCTGCAAGGAGAACAGACATCTGCAACCGTGGGGCGTGAGGAGATGGGGCCAAGTATGGGACAGGATATTAGTGCTGGCACCGTGGAGGGGAAGCGTTTGGAGGAAGCACAAAGAACATTAAACTTTTCTAGTTTTTAAAGGATCAAAGCTGAAATATCTACTTTGCACCCTCCCAAAACACCCCACTCCCCCGCAGGGTTCTCCTGGCTTGGCTTGCCTGTGGTGCTGTTGGCTCTTGAAGGTTTTTGGTGCTTATTTGCTGACCCAATGCCTCAAAATAGAGTCAAATAAAATTCTCCTGAATGGAAAAAACTGCTCCACGCTGTGCTTAATATCAGCTGTGGAGTGTGGGGGGTGTGAGCTCTGGTGGTCACCCCGGTGTGGAGGTGGTGGTCACCCCGGCACGGAGGTGGTGGTCCCCAATACCCCAGTGGACACCTCCCCACCTCCACCAAGACCAGCTATAGCCACTCCTGACAGCCTCCCCCTCCCCAAATAACAGGAATAACAGCAGAGAACCCAGGGAGGGGACATTGGTGGCCCTGAGCACCCCAAAGGGCAGAGGTGGCTGTGACCCCATGAGCGACACTGACCTTCCCACAGCCCCGGTGCCCGTGCAGGGGGTGACAGTGCAATGACATCCCAGTTACCCCAGGGAAAGGTGGGTACCCTGAGCACCCCAAAGGGCAGAGGTGGCTGTGACCCCATGAGCGACACTGACCTTCCCACAGCCCCGGTGCCCGTGCAGGGGGTGACAGTGCAATGACATCCCAGTTACCCCAGGGAAAGGTGGGTACCCGCAGCACCCTGAGCAGATGGGAAGACATCGGCGCTCCCCATCTCACTGCAACAGTCAACCTGTGGTCATTGGCTTTAGAGGTTTTTGGTTTTTTGGGTTTTTTTTATTGTGTAAACGGATAACCATTTTTTTTTTCACAACAGTGCAAGTAAATACCAAAGTCAGCCCATTGAAATGGATCTTCTACAAAGGAAATTTTGAAGCTCTTAAGGCAAGATTTGTCCATCTCTAGCTTCAGTTTATCAGACCTTCAGCTACTGATTGGCTTAACAAAATTTATATGGGATTTTTTTTTAATTATTATTTTTTGTTGAAAAGATTTACATATACTATGGAAACTGGTCCTAAGACACATTTGTCTCTGGCTTTCTTTAAAAATCCATTAGCTCCTGCTTGATTTTTTAAATGTAAAGGCACACAATAAAGCTTTATGCATTTATTAAAATATACAGATTTTGGTAAATTTAGACTTTTTTTTCCTTAATATCTTGATATTTTTTATATATATACATATAATATGTATAGTTATCAACAACACAACCATTTGAAAATGAAAATCACTCCATAACATATCTGTATTATTTTTTTTCTTTCTCATGACACACTACAAGATCCCATTGTCCAATGCACCAATGGGCTTTTGGAAACCACAAAAAATAAAAAAATAAAAAAATTAACAGAACAAACTTTTTTTTTTTTAACAAATACACCAATTTCATACCAGAACTGCAGAGAATTGTTACACCAGAAAGTACCATCTGCAAAAAAAACCCCAAAAAAGCAAGATATACATCAGAAAGACCAAACAAAATGAAGTGAAGATCATTTACAAGCTGGATTTACAATATCCTGTGTCGTTCGGGGCGTGATTTCTCTGCTGCGTGGAGGACGTTGAGTGGTTGTAACTGTGTGGAGTGAATTTGTGGAGGGACTGAGATATCTTATAGAGTGGGTCCGGAGGATTTGAGGTATTTATGCTCCATCCGTATCATGCGTTGGGCACCCCAGGGTCAGGCGTGGAGGGGCTGTGTGCCTCTCACTGTGGTGGGAATGGGGTGGCACCACTCTGCCTGTGTCCTCCTGATGGGTCAGGGGTGTGAGAACCTCCCTGAGGGCACCCAGGGGGAAAAGGCTGGATTTTGGGGTTACAGCAAAACAAGAACTTGCACGTCCACCCACCATCCCAAACCACCCCTGAGGCTGGCAATGCCTGGAGGCGATGGATGTGCCTGAACATTCTGGTCTTTGCTGCTTTCACTTGTGCCCATCAAAGAACCCAACACCCACTACAAGGGAAAG